ACAATTCATTATAAATCTATAAACCTCCCTTCTTTACACTTCCTCTAGCCAATTTTTTTATGCTGCAGAAATTCTTCATTTTCTTTTAGCCATTCGCTAGCGAGAAGATTCATAAATATCACTCATGAAATGTGAAGAATCGGAGTGTTTCATATTAGGAGCAAAGATACCATGAAATTCCCTAGAAACTATGCAATTTCCTTAAGGACAACATCGAAGTTCCATAACTCAGTCCAGCAGGCTTATCCTTTTTCACTTAATTAGATACATCCTTGCTACTTGCTACTTGCTTAAAATTGAATATCAGATTCTATATATATATTTAATTTTACATCAACAAAAAAGCATCAAGTCTCACTTATACCAACTAAATGTGCTTCTATCAATCAAATTGTGAAAAATCAATACCAAGCTTCGAGGAAATTTCCATGATCAAGCTCATGAGCTAATGAAATAAAAAATTAAAAAGCGGCGTAGATAGGTTTTCTGGCCCGACGCAACCTTACCGCCTGTAGAGCAAGAGAAGGCTTGCCCTGGGTTACTAGCTGCCGTGCCAAATCAAGAAGAGGCCAACCATTCTCACAGCCAGCGGGCACCGGGAATTGCTCGGCCTCACAGCCGGCCGCCGTTGCCACCGGCAAGGGTTCACTGCCCTCCGCAGGATGACGAGCACCAAGGCCATCGTCGATGTTCATAGATTCCATCGCCGGTTCGGGCTCTCCCTTAGATCACAAAAGGTTTGTCGCCACGAACTCGCCTCTCCCGTCGATTCTCGAACCCTCCTTTTAAAAGACGCGATGCTTCTAGCAGCTTCTAGTAAGCTCGCCTTCCCCTCTCTTACAGCTCGCCTCTTCCCTAAACCTGATTCGTATGTTCATTTTGGTCTGTTGTTTAGGAGCTAAGGTTATCAATAAGAGATTTTAGATTCGAGTATTATGTATGTGATGTGTGTGTGAATTTGACTTAATTCGCCTAAATGTCAAAATAATAATAATTTATGTCCGGGTTCGGAGACTTGCGAAACTGTCTTAAATCAAAAGGTGCCGGGTTCAAAAAATTGTTGGACATATGGACTAAGGTTTAGTTTGGGACACTTTGACTTTTTGAATAAATTTGTTAGTTCAAAAAAAATTTTGAAATTAAAAATTACTTTAGAAATCACTAAAAATGTTGTCCCAAATAAAATCTAGATGTATTCTGATTCGCATTTTACATTTTGAGAATATTAAAATTTAAGCTAGATTTTGATTAACTTTAAATTTTAAAATTAATGATTATTATTTGTGTTTCAACTAAAGGAGTGGAATTTTAATTAAATGAGTTGAATTGATTAAAAAACATAATCTTAATAATAAATATGTTAAATAGTTTGGATTCTAATTTGGTATGTTTGGGTTGAACATTGACACATAAAATAAAATAATATGATTGCATCAAGTATGTTCGGGTCAAAATAAATTTTAGTTAGACTTGAACACAACCGATCGTAGTTTTGAAAAATTGTCTTATTGCTAGTCAAATCAATTTAGATTAAAAAAAAAAAAGAATTTAGCCATTAAGATTGATACGTTATCAAAAAAAATATCTTGATCGGACACAAATTTCGATGCAAAATCAAGTTGGAAACTTCCGAAATTAAAATTGGAACCATCTGAACTTCGATTTCAGCAAACTTACAGTCAAACTGAACGTCTCGGAAATACGAACCCAACAGCACCAATTTTGACTCAATCCAAGCCCAAATGAGATCAAATCAAGGACCTGAAACGTTGTTGGAAGATTCGAACCACAATTTGGATCACCAAACGGTTTCCAAACATTATATGCTTATAGTCGAATCGATCTGCTCGATGAGATGAATCCAACAAGTCAAAGATCTATGAATTCCTACATCATTAAGACCTTCAAATGTCTGACGAACGGTCCACGATCAAGGTGATAGTCTTTCATACTTGTTGATGACCATCACTCAAACGATTAATCATTCTGTGCAGGCGTCAAACGCTGTCCAGAGATCAATCAAAATGCGTCGCGTCACCCCTTTGCTTGGTACTGCTCGATATCGTTCGGTACTACGGCTCGGTACCGCTGACGTGATGCATTATGGTTCGTCTCTGGATGACATTCTGTGTCCGACCTCCACACAGAGTAATTTCTCCAATTGATGACACATTGTAGATTCTAATTTTTTTTCCTATGAAAAAATCGTGCTACGTATATTTTGGCTTTAGTTGAGATAAATTTAGACAACTATTTTTTCCTACTTTTTAAAAGATTTTTTTACTAAAAAAATAACTTTACAATACAGTAAGAAAATAATCACAAATGATGCTTTAGTCCGTAGTGTTTACAGTTATTTTACTATGATATATGATGATCATCATCATTCATGCACATGATAGTGATGTCACACTGTGATTTCTATTTTTTTCCCTATTAAGAAATGTGCTACATATATTTAGTTGGGAGGGTTTACAGTTATTTCACTAAGAACTTTTTAAATTTTTGTTATATTTTTTAGCCATAATTTTTTTTCTATATAAATAAAAGGGTGCCCATCTTATATTGCATAAGACTGATTTGAGTTGTATTTTCTTTGCAATTAAACAATGATGATAAATGCAACAATTATTTTTTATTTTATTTTATTATTATTTTCTTTTTTTTATTTTTTTATTATTTTTTAATGATAAATACAACAATTATAAAATACTATAGATGTTTAATAATTAGGGACTCGGATTTTATTTGGGACAATTTTCTTACTACTTAAAACAAATTTTTAGTAAAAAGAATTTAAATTTTATATTAAAAAGCTGTTTTACGAACGCAAAAAAAGAGTCTATGTCCCAAAGATATCCTCAATCTCTTAATCAGGTGGACATGCTCAATCGATGAAGTAATTAGGTGTTAACAATATATAGCTAATACAAATGCAAAAAGATTAGGTTTAAGAACATATACTAGACTTGTGCTAATGAATGCTGATTTCTTGCATAAAATCATTAAGCATGAAACTTAACTAGGTTGTCTTTAATTATATGGCTAATTATTGTTAACTAACTACAATTAATTACTATTATTTAGTGCTTGCAAGTTACTTAATTGTCAGATTAGAGTCTTATTTGGTGACTTTATTATAGGAGATATATTGATCATGAAGCATACATAGGCTTGGACAATGAATGGAGATAGGAGAGAGTTTATACTTTTCTATTTTTCTATTAGTCGTCTGACGCACTAAGGTTTTATTTGGGATAGCTTCTAAAGTAAATTTTATTAGTTTTAAGAAAATTATTATATTAAAAAATTATTTTAAGAAGTAGTAATAAAGTTGTCTTAGATATAGCGAGAGAGTTTCTAAATTCTATTATTTTTAGCTCCGTAGTTTTCATACATTGTTTATTTGAAAAATGTTAATAATTTTAAAAACTTTTGCTTTATTGGAACAACTTTTTTTATTGCGTTTTCGAAAAATACTTTTTAGTATATATATATTAGATATTTTTTACAAGAAAGCTTCTTTTAAAAGCATTAAAAAATTAATTAGTATTCGTTTGGGATAATTTTTACTGTTTTCTAATATATATTTTTTTAATTTAAGATATTTTGTACTGAAAAATTGCTTTAAAAATAGTAAAGAAACTGTCCCAAATAAGACCTTAATATGTTAAAAGGATATTTAATAAGAGCTATTTAGAAAATTTATTGCCCGTGTTTTAAAATTGTGGTATTTAAGCTCTTAATTTTTTTTTATTGCTATAAAATGTGTGTTTTGTTTGGCTTTCATCATGACCATATACGTTCATTGCCTCAAATTGAAAAAAAATATATTTTGAAATTGAGGTTAATATTTGATAAAATGGAAATCAAATGTAACAAAATAGTAATTTTTATTTGCTTGATGATATTAAAAATACTAAAATTTCTCTCTTTATTTATTTTCTCTCCATGAATCAATAATAATAAATTTAAGCTTCGATTGAGACGGATTATTTATTATTTTATAAAGTTAGTAGAGAAATTAATTTTTTTTAAATTATTATATAAAGCAACTTTTTAATACAATTTTTTTTTGAAAATGATAAAAAAATAATAATTAAATAAAAATGACCATTACAATCTGAAAAAATAAAACAATATAAAAATTTTCATAAACAAAACCTAAATTACATTCTCTCATAATTAAAAAATAATTAGAGACTCTACCCTCAAATCAACCCAACCATCCCAAGTCAAAGTTGGCCTAATTCTCATAATTTGATAATACCCATCACCAATAAAATCTTTGATCAATGAGACTATACATCATCTTATAATTCTTGATGCGACCAATTCAACCAATTTGATGTCGCTCAATGGCCTACGACTTCGTCCAATTCCCTCTCCTCTATGTATGACAGAGTCTATAGAAATCCTTTTTGTTTTTAAACATTTAGATCAATTTAAGGCAAATTCATATGCATCATATACCCAAGACTCGAACTAATCACCTCTTGGTTAGAAAAAATTATTCTATCCGGACAGCGTACCGAGGGTACCGAGCGATACCGCGGTCGGTATCGAGCATGGTACCGAGCGCCCAGTGATGTGGCGCTTTTTTATTGATCTCTTTCGGTGTCCGGAAGGAATAATCACTCCTTAGTAGCTAAAACTTCTATAATTGCATAGTTTATAAAAATCCTAAACTAGCAAGTTGATCCAAACCAACCCAAGAAATTTGAGCCCACATTGAGTTTTAATTCATACATTTTAATAATCTTTTTTGAATATTGACAATGATACAATCATTTTATTTATAAATTTACATCGTTTAAATTTAAATTAATTTTCAAAATGAATTTTATAATTTAATTTTCTTTAAGCACTTCAAAACATAAGAGTAGCTTAATCATAAGGAATATTTATGTTTTATTTGGGATGACTTTCTCACTGTGTTTTTAATAAGATTTTTAAAAAATTGATAAAAAATAGTAAGAAAATCGTCCCAAACGAAACTTTAATATGTGAGAAATAATTTAATTGGTACACTAAAAATAGAGCCCAAGAAATGATTTTGAAGATGAAAAATCGTGCTAGGAAATTACGAAACATGTGTAGAGCAAAAAAAGATATATTGACAAAGAAAGGTTTTATCTTCTGTTCTTCTCTGCAATTCTGATTTACCGTTGCATCCGAATCTACGTCTAGGGTTTCCTACAACTCTTCTTCCTTCCTAATTGATTCTGGATATCCCGATCCTCTTCAGGACACTGCTTAGCACGCTCTCCTGCGGCTATGGCGGCGGCGGCGTAGGCGGCGTAGGTGGAGTAGGAGGAGGAGGAGGAGGTATCATTCCCTGGTGCTCCAGCCCGCTCATGTAATTCTGCACCTCCTGGTGGATCACCTCCTGCATGGCTTCCAGGAACTCGGGGCTGAAAGGGAAAGCCACCGCGGGTGGCAGTTTCTCCTCCGGCGTTGTCGTCCTCGCAGCTAATGTGGTAGCTGACGGCGAAGCTAGAAATTGAGGGTCGCTGTGTTTCTGGTTAACGGCGGATTGGTACTTATCACTAGACGATCCCGGGGGTGATAGGGTGAGCGATGTAAACGGATCGTGGCGATTCGGACTCCTAGTGTTAGAATCTGTTTCTGGACTATTCGGACGTTTGATCAGCCTACAATCTTCGAAAGCCCCCGTCATTCTTTCCTCCGAAGCCGACGCGACGGCGGCAACGGCGGCTTGCTTGCGCTTGAGGGTTGAGTTCCAGTGATTTTTTATGTTGTTATCAGTGCGGCCGGGTAGGAGTCGAGATATGGTTGCCCACTTGTTACCAAAGCGGTGGTGCGCGCTAACGATAATCTCGTCTTCCTCCGGCGTGAAGGGGCGATGCTCCACCTTCGGTGAAAGCTGATTACACCATCGCAACCGGCACGATTTCCCCGATCTTCCAGGAATCGATTGGCTTATCAAAGACCAATTCTTCGGCCCATGCTTCTCCACCAGCGTCTGTAACATTTCGTCTTCGTCCGGTGTCCATGGCCCCTTGATCGGATCCACGTCGTTAGCCGCCATGATCAGTCGTCCAAAGCTCTCTTAGTTTCACTAACCCTAACCCTAATCCCTTAAAATGCCGCCCAAATCAACGTCAATGCGGGAGCATGGGAGAGTACTGCGGTGTAGAGAGGAGACAGGGAGGAGTTGGGAGTATATGAAGGTGTTGACTGGGGATAGCCAGTTCGCTGCAGAGATGCGATGGGATCTCACCGGCTACTTCAGGTCAGACAAACGCTCGGATACAGCTGTCATAAACTCCACGTGTCGGACGTTTCCAACGGTGATTCATTCCGGTCCTTTTCTACCCAGTTTCCCTGTGGATTGTGGGCCCCACGGATTCGAACGCACGAGTTAACTAATTCTATTTATTATGCCTCGTGTGTTTTTCGGTAGGGTGAATTTGATTTAAAATTTAAAATTTTTATTAGATGTGAATTAATTTAATTGACTAAGAATTTAAGTATTATTTTAAAGATCCTATGATAAAATCTCAATCATATTATATTTCTTTTTTAATATTTAATTTTTAAAAAATAATTAATAAATTTTAAAAAGAAAAAAATTAAAAATATTTGATTTTGACTATTAAATATTGATATAATATATCATTTATTTTTAATAATTTAAATCATGAGAGAGATAAATTCCTAAATGTATTCATTTATTTGGTGAGATCTAATAAATTTTGGATTAATTGATAAAAAAATTGAAATAAGATTCATTAATAATAGGATTTAAAATTAAAAAAAATATTTTTTGATGAGATTTAAGCTAAACCTTGTTTATACTTTGCATAAAATATTATAGCCAACTACCTTGAGATCATTTGTAGTATGCTAACTATTTTGGAAGTCATATGACCAATAGTTGCATACTTATAAGTTATGTGAGGTGGAGCAAACATCTTTGATGAAATCTATGAGATATGAGTTATCTGTTATATCCGTTATTTGAAATTCAATTAAATTTTTTGTTAATGATCATTAATTTTAAGTTAATTAATAATTATAAGTTTTAGCATGTTGAATGAGACAGAAAGTAATCAAGATTTGGGTTTAAGAAATGAAAATCTAATGTTTGGAAATTTGTTATGCATGCAACGTGGTGTTGGTGGCGCCCTGGCATTGAGCTTACGAATTTTTGGACAAAAAATTAGGTTTGGGTTTGTGCCTCAACGTCAGGTCTCAAGTGAGTATATTCTAGAAAAATCTAAAGATTTTTTGTGAGTGCAGCTAGGGGTGTCAATATTTGACACGACACGAAAATCCGACCCGGACCCGACCCGGAAAATTCGGGTTGAACCCGACCCCGCTGCCCGCTGCCGCCGGACGCTGCTGCCGCGCTGAAGCTGATCCCGACCTTGCCGTGTCCGCGGGTCGGGTTCGGGTCCGATAAATCGACCCGTTTGTAAAAACAGGTCGGGTTCGGGTTGACCCAAATAATGCCGGGTCATTTCCGGATTCGACCCGAACCCGACCCGTGACCCGAAATTGACACCCCTAAGTGCAGCGATGCGGGGAAAGCGAGCATCGTGGTGCTAAGTCAAAATTAATGGATTTCAAATAATAAAATATTTAAAACCATTTGGCCATTTATTCCACCTCAACCTTACAAGAGAATGAAGGAGAAGAAGAAGATGAGAGGAGAAGAAAAAAAAAGGGGAGATAGGGAATTCAGAGGCCAAAGCTCTTGAATTGTCCGTCAGAATGTCAGAACCAGAAATTTCTTTCAGCTAATGCCTAAATTTATTTATTTTTAATTTTTCTCAACTCTTTTTATGCAAGCTTGGGACCGACATAGACAATTTTATTTTATTTTTTCAATTTATTATTTAGACAAATAAAATATTAAATATAAAATAATAAAAAACTTGTAGTTTATAATATCTGCTATTCATATTATGAAAGAGTTGAATAACTACTTCATTATCAATATAATCTTTTATTTCTTTTTTAGTATTAGTGATCAATATATCATTTAGCCATTGATCTCCTATTCTATTAATATATCATTCAGAGGCCAAAGCTCTTGAATTGTCTGTTAGAAGCTCTTGGGTCCGGCATAAACAATTTTAATTTTTTTCAATTTGTTATTTAGACAAATAAAATATTAAGTGTAAAATAATAAAAAACTTGCAGTTTATAATATTTGCTATTCATATTCTGAAAGAGTTAGAATGACTACTTCATTATCAATATAATATATTATCTTTTTTTTAGTATAAGCAATTAATATATCATTTAGTCATTGATCTCCTATTCTATTTTACAGCCAAATTTTCATAATATTCATAATGAAAAATGCTCTTTCGACTTCTGTCATTGCAATGAGTAATACTAATGTCAATTTTAATAGTCTCAAAACAAGAGGATATAGAACATCTTTCTTTCTTTGGATCATTTTCTCAGCTAGACATCTTATATCTTTTAATAAAGAAAATTGTTCATTAGATTGCATGTCCATAATATAAGCGTCCAACAAATTTTCAAGAATCGTCAGCTTAGGAGGAGTAAAATTAGTTGGATAAAACTATGTCATTCTAAACAACTTTTCTTTATTGAATGCATATAATAAAATATTAGGATTCAAACATACAATAGATAAAAGTAACTTAGTATTTGCTTTTATAAAATAATTATTCAGCTCTTGAAGTTACATATCAATGACTGTGTAGAAAATGTCAACCAAAAAATGTTATAAATTTATTATGTCTTGAGCTTTGCAACAAGGATGTCCATGAGTAACCTGTTTATCATCCATGTGTGGAATTTTATTTTCTACTGCTCATAAAATGAAGTTCTATTGATGATGAAATTTGCCCACTTATTATCTCTTATAACTTATAGTCTTGTTTTAGATATCTAAACAAAAAATATAGCCTTTGTAATGTCTTATTCTCTTTTATACAAAGCTTATGATAGTTTAACAATGATACTAAGTATATCTTTCATCAAATGTAGGCAAAAAGAAAATTCAAAAGTTTGTAATGGTTTCAATAATGTGTATATATGTCTCATCTCTTTGTTCAAAGCTTACACCATCTTTCAAAATAAATTTTAAAATATAAATTGAGGATCAGAGAACATTGTTATCAACATTAAAATTGATTCATAATGTAAACCCTATCGTGTATTACTTGCACGCCTTAGGGTTATTTATTGATTCAACCCTTGCCCTGTTATAAGTTATCCACTCTGTAATTCATTTAATTTCTTCTCTCGTTGTATATCTCAAAGTTAGTCATGACGCTAATATAAAACACCAATGATATTCATCACATTTAAAATTATGGTAAATAATAAAATAATTTGAACAAGATTTTTTGGAACATATACCAATGTTAATTGAAATTAATGTTACAAATAATGAATGTAATGTGTTGATTTATTTTCATTCAGAAATGGAGCCCTCAGGGCATTAAACTCTCCTCTCATATTACTAGCACTATTATAATTTTGACCATGCATTCTTGAAACGTTTAATCCATAAGTTGAAATGAGTTGTTCGATAAAAATTTTGAGACATTTGAGTGTTGAATCTGGAAATGAGCAATGCCCAAAAAATGTTCATTTATTTGACCCTTTTATTAACAAATCGTAATACATGTTTCATTTATTATTTTGCATATATTTTACGTGATTCATCAACTAAAATTAAGGAAAAAACTATTACTAATTTTCTTAGTTATGAAGTTGGTAATTGTGATTGACATAGCCCTTGTGATATCTTTCTGAATATTATGCGCAATTTATCTTAACTTTTTGGAGGCATTCTTCTACACCACATCTTTTATATCTTTGTTATGTTCAATAAAAAAAAAACTAGTTCAAGAAGTTGTCTTGATTTTTTTATTTATTATGTTCACAAAAAGTCAATATTTATCTTAAAAGAAATCTTATGCGATCAACGAAACTATTCAGTCGCAAACGATATGCAATTGTAGCTCAATTTGATTGCTTTTGGAAGAAAAAAACTAATATGTTAATTTATTTTATTAAATCCTCACAACTTCGTCATACATTATTATGAACAATATTTTGGCTTCCCATATAAAGGCCAAATCTATTTGATTTTTTTTTTCAATTTGAAAATTTATTTTTATTAAATGACTCATCATCTTTGCTGCCTCTACTGGATGTGAAGACTTGAAAACTAGTTTCAAAGAAAAGATGAAAAAAGACTTTGATATGACTGACTGCGTTCATATGACCTTCTTTTTTAGGATCCAAATATTAAGTATAGAGGAAGGATTCTTTATTACTCAAGAATCATATGCTAAATAAATCATGAAGAAATTTGGGATGAATGGATGCAATCCAGTATCTACTCTGATAAAAGCTGGAGTAAGATTATCAAGACATGATGATGAAAATCTAATTGATCCAACCTACTACAAGTGTCTCATTGGAAATCTTATATATTTAACATGCACTCGTCCAGATATACCATATGTAGTTGGAGTGGTAAGCACGTGTATGGAAACTCTAACAGAAAATCATTTGAATGTTGCTAAAAGAATCTTAAGGTATGTTAAAGGAACTATTTATTTTGGGCTAAATTATAAGAATTGTGATGATTTTTTCTTAAGAGAATTCTATGATACTAACTAGAGTAATGATGTTAATGAAAGAGAAAACACAACTGGGTTCATCTACTTTCTTGGTGATACACCATTTATATGTTTTAGTAATAAGCAAATAATAGTGACACTAAGTACTTCCAAGCCGAGTACATTGCCGCTACTACATGTGTTTGCTATGGTGTATGGGTCGAGACTTATGAGTCCTCTTATGATAGATTATGATGAACTAACAAGAATTTATATGGACAATAGATCAACAATAGAATTGACAAAGAATCTAGTGCATCATGAGAGGACAAAACACATTGACACCAAATTTCATTTCATTAGAGAGAAAGTAGTATCCAAAGAAATTGTACTTGAACATGTAAGAGCAAATAATCAAATTGTTGATATATTTACAAAACATTTGAAGCATGATTTATTCTTGAAGATGAGAGAAAGACTTGGTATGTTGAAGAAAGAAGAGCTATGATTAAGGGAGAGTTTTGTTGGAAGCTAATCCTAGTTACCTTGGCGAACATGACTCAAATCATATACATGAGGAGGGTCTTATATTATCTTATATTATATATTATATATATTTTTTATATTATATTTTTATTTTAAATTTAAGAAGTATGTTAACTTTTGTAGTCAAAGTATTGATATGGCATCATTTGTGGTATTTGAGGCGACAAGGCTATAGAGGAATTTCAGCCATGAAAGGTTCTAGAAGAAGGAAGCTTCAAGAAAGCCGTAGGAGTGTTCTATCATATTCCAAGAATAGTTAATGTGAGTGTTCTTTCATATTCAAAGAATAGTTAATTAGAGTGTTCTTTCATATTCAAAGAGTAGTGTAATAGATTTTTCTAGAAACCTTGGAGTAGTGGTTGGGCATGACTATAAAAGGAGGGGAAAAGAGGATGATAGAGTTTGGTGAAAGAAAAAGTGAAAAAGAAAGAAAAAAGGAAAAGAGAGAGTGAGAAGGTGAAGATTTATTAGCCAAGTTATCCATTTTGTCAAAGAAATTATTCATCTTGTATTGTTGTATTCATCTTTGAAAAATATATGTTAAAAGTCTTTATCAAAATTTTTTGGCAACCATAAATGTTATGTTTTATCTGCTACATTTATCATTTGATTAATTTCTCTTCTCCCTCCAACATAAACACATTGACAAATATATTAGTTGTATGATCAGATGATCAAATGGCTACGATCCAATATATCAAAATTATGAGTATGGGGTTGCATACATGAATGATTTGACATGATCTAGATCATCCATATGAATACACATGGGATGAATGGTTCAGATTGTGACAATCGATACAAGGGTTGCATACATGAAGGATTTTTTATTTGATTTAAAATGAATTATAAAGTTAAGTTTAATACATGAAATCATTTACACAACCTAATACAAATCTAAACTACTATTATATGAAGTTTTGAAGCTTCATATAGAAAGTTAAAGCAATAATTTAAAACCCTAAGTTTAAAACTAGGGTTTAAGATTTACTTTGGAATACGGCTGTTTATGCAGGTTTTTTATTATAGTGCACTCCTAAGCTCTTGGGGAACAAGTTTGCTGAAGGAAGCTCGGCTAAAGGAGCAATAGAGAAAGGGTTGACAAAATTGAGACAAAGGGGTGCCCAGAACTTTGTGGTTTTCATCACCAATAATGTCCAAACAATTGGAATTTATGTGGAATCAAAGGAGCAGGCCCTAAGGAAGCAAAAAGAAATAGGAGCAAGAGCTTTTGGTGATTAGAGAGAATGAAATTTAAATGACTCATATTTCCAAGTTTCCCTATTTCTGCTGTAGGGGGCTAATCCCAAGTGCTAGGATCGATCAGCAAGAATTTCTTGGCTCTTTACCTATGATTGGGGTGGTTATGGAGTAGGGGATAAAGAAAAAGACTGGTTGGAAAAGTAGAAAAAGACCTTTTGTTGTTTTAGCATGTGGGGACCATTGGGTCTAGCTCAAGCCAAAACAAGCCTTTGGGTTATGTCAAATTCATGCAGGAAGCTTTTGAAAATGATTCCAAATTGGTTACAACAGTTTATATAGAGTAATTTACTATATATGAAGGCTTTGACCAATTGCAAGAAACTTGACCATTTAACATGTTTGATTGGTCAAACATAGTATATGCAGCTAGGGTAGACCTTAAGGTAATTAGCATAATTTGACCTCTCCATGTGAGGTGATCAGATCAACCTTTAACATGGGGAACATGCTAGATGGATGCTTTTGAAAGTCAATTCGATTGTGTTTGGATGATTAGGGCAGGCAAATTGGTTGTATGCAGGTATTTGACTCAGGCTAGGTTGATTTGACAAATTCTAGTAGAGTTGACAAGGTCAATCTTTAACCTAGGTAATAAGATAGATGGGTGTACCCTTTAGGAGATTTGGTAAATTTAATTGGATAAATTTAATGGGTTGAAACAGGCTATTTATAATTAGTACAAGGGTTTAACCTATATTAAGCTAATTTGACCTAGCTCAAATAGGTTGAGTGGGTCAACCTTTACCTTGGGAGGTTATCTTGGGAAGCTACAATTGCTGGGTTTGATGTATTAAACTCTTAAGGTTAGGATTTAGGTAAGGTTTAAAGTCAACATGCCAATGTCATGTGTAATGTAGTCTACTAGGTATGCAGGATGTGAGTCATTCAACTTTGGTTTTGGATTAACTCATTCATGCTTTAAGGTTTAAAAGGGTTTAGGGGAGTTTAGATAGACTTAAATAATCTTAGGGGTTCAATAACAAAGTTTAGGTCAATTAGAGTAGTCATCAAACTCAAGGTAGGATATCTTAGGCATAAAAGAATATGGGGTGTCGTCTTATGGTCAAACAGGGTCCATTGGGATTGAATCGAAGTTCTTGGGCTATGTAGATTGGCTTAGGTATGATCTTATCTTGATCTAGATTGATAATAAAGATTTGAATTAATGATGAAGCATGCATTAGGGGGAAATTGGCAAGCCAAGGTAGGAAACCTAAGGTTTGGATTCTTACCGCTTCATAAAAGGATAATGTAACGCTATAACAATCTAGTGTTAGCTTGAAGTGAATTTCAAGGATTATGATTTCAATCTGAGCTAAAAATGAGATCAATAGCTACAAGAGGATTCACTAAATCCTTTATTTTTATAATATTAGATCATGAGGAGAGTCAAATTTTATATTATTTTGCATGACATCTTAAGAGGTTGTTTGGCTACTAGATGATTCACTAAATCCTATATTTTTCATATTTGCTAGATCATGAGGAGGTTAAAATTAAAAATTGTTTGGCAAAATAATTATTAAATCTTGATATATTATTCTGTTATTGGTTTCATGATTTAAAATTTATGAGAGCAAATTTTTTTAAATTCATTAAAATCATATAAATAATGTGATTTAATAAATTTTGAATTTAATCAGTAACTAGGCTCACATAAATCTCTTAGAATAATGAAATTAAAAAATTTCATAATATTATTTAGTAATATTTAAGCTTAAAACCTGCCAAAAACAAGCTACTTCGAGGAGGAAGTCTTTTTTATACTCAGGAATTCGTTTATATCATTACGACAATCAATGACAACACTTTGATACATACGGTGATCCTTGAAAAGTTACCTATAGCATTTCATTAAAAAGCAAATGATTACAAGATAGAAAACTAAACATGCAATCCTAAATGCCTATCCTCCCTTAACAAATTCAATAGAGAGGAAGGCACAAAAGCAACATCATTCTTATTCCAAAGGAAATTACAATTGAGTGCCAATTTAGTACAAAAATTAGCCATCTTGGAACAAATTGGAAAATAACTTGTTGAAGATCTGTCAGGAAAAACATATCTGCCATGTTAGCAAATCTTTCTTGATTGGAGTTATTTGTTTGAAGTTGTTGAAAGCATTTTATAACTTGTAAAGTATTTTAAATGCAATAATTTAAAAAAATATTATTGATTGATTTGAAATAAAAAAAATACATTAAATAAAATTTTAGTATATTTAAAATATATCCTCTAATGCAGTGGCGGAACCATTTGATATTTAGGGGGGGGCAATTGACCCCCCTAAAAAAAAAACTTTTTTATAGGAGTAAATAAATTTTATATATATATATATATATGAGAGTAAAAAATTTTTTTGCCCCCCTTAAAAAATTATTTTTGCCCCCCTAAAAAACTCTTTTACCCTAACTTACCCTGAAATATCTATATATTTTTTTACATTTAGTTCTAATATTCTCTTTCATTTAGTTCTAATTAGACTTTTTTTCTTTATTTTTCTTGCTTAATTTTTTTTAAAACTTTTCTTAATATATAGATATATATTATTATTATTTTAATATTTAATTATTTTTATGAAGTATTTGCCCCCTCTCAAAATTGAAGTCGGTTCCGCCCCTGCTCTAATGCAATTTTGATATATTAAAAAAAGGGATTTATATATATATATATATACCACTTATATAAGTTTATTTACATATATATAGTACCTAAAGGTTTAATATTTCATATATAACTTTAATATCAAATATACTACTCATATATTTCATTCAAACAATCAATACCACCATATAAATTTTAATATTTTATTCCTTGCACTTATATTTGATCTATATGTAAATGATAAACATAAAATATAAAATTTTAAATATTAGATATTTAAATAACATGATATAATGTGATATATATGTATGCAAATTTCCCATTAAAAATTTATCATATTTTAATAATTTTTATCACTACTTATGAATTTTACCCTACTTCATTTTACATCAAACCAAAATAATAATAATAATAATAATAATAATAATAATCTAAATTTAGTTCACACTTAATTAATTCCAAATATTTTAAATATATTATATCTTATTTACACTATATTTCATTGTACACGGGCATTTTTTTAACCAATCAAAGAGCCTTTAAGTAAGACCATCCTGTATAAAATTTTCTCAGAATATTTTAAAATTTTTCAATTTCAACATCTTGTGAAGTCCCAAATTTTGCACAAAACTTCATCTGTAACTTAAATAATTTTTATGAACAAACTTCTTCTATAATTTAGACTTCGTTTGTGATAGCTTTCTTATATATTTCTAAAGCAATTTTTAGTACAAAATTTTTTTTATAATAAAAAGTTGTTCTAAAAAGTAATAAAAAAATTGTTCCAAACAAAACCTCGGATGACTTTCTTACTGATTCTTAAAACAGCTTTCAAAAACTGCTTTAATAAGCAATAAAAAAGCAGTCCCAAACAAAGCCTTAATCAAATACTTATCTCCATAAATCATATTTTCACGTTCTAAACCCAGAAATAGCAGCACAAATTCATGTATTACATATATAAGTTCAATTCAACCAATTCCTAATAACATAAAATATCCATTCCAGAACCTAAACGGTTCATTGAAGGCTTCCTTAACTTAAGAGAGCACTGCCTTCCTTGATAAGCACAAAGACGCTGCTACCATCACCTCTGGAGATTCTGAGTTCATCGTCAAGGTATGTGGTGAGCAGCCATGACTGAGCATTGCTGTTAGAAATAGGGAATTTGAGGGGAGGTTGGCTGGAGATGGTCTTGGCTACTGAGGACGCTGTGTCCTGCAAGGAAGAAATCACGCCATTGAATGGGGACAGATCGATACTCTGCCCAAAGAATTCGAACTTATCTGGGATGACAATGGAGTCTGTGAGCTGGGGAGTGCCGATGATGCCTTCCTCAAACTTTATCTAAGAAAATACAGTTGAGAAATGACGTTAGTGTTACAAGATTTACTCTTTTCGGGGAAATTTAGATTTCATTTGGGACAGTTTTCTTGCTGTTTTATAAATTTAGATTATTAAGACTTATAAGCAGTAATAGCTCTAAGCATAAATGGTATAATCTACAGCTGAGAAATTCAGCACCACATTATATGAGTCTTCACCGCCAAAGTTTGAAATTTCACAATCGGCTATTACGGTGTTTCAGCAAGGCATCTCAAGGTGTTTTGAATTAAATCATTAAATTAATAAAGGGTATAAAATAATAAGTATGCTAACATCAAACTTCCATCATTAAAAATTTAGAAAAAAGTCTTAAATTAAATAGCAAAAGCTTAAGATTTTGGGCTTGAACACTTCAATGTTTCATTCCCAATCCAGTTTCCACAGTAAGAGTCCAACTAATCACATTCCTTCTTGGCTTCTTCACTCTCCTCTTTTTTCCAAATTTCTCCCTGCATGAAAGCTGGCGATGGCAGTTGGGTGAAAGCAAAGAGGTTGATTGAGATCGTAGAGAAGCTCCTCAACAATCATGAACTAGCAGGTACAAATTGATTAGTCAAGCGCAAGTTCAAATCCGACACACCTCTCATTGGCATTGACAAAATCCTCATCGTCCTAAGCATCCTCATCGCCACACAATGTTGCAACCCTAAGCAACTCAACCAGTATGCCATCCCCCCCATCTTCCTCCATAGTTGATGCAGGTGATTATCGCCTCATTAAGCCCTTGCTTGACTTGGGGGCGGGTGTGCGAGGCTTCTTTCCTGAGCCCGAATCTTTGGATCTTTTTATCTTTTATTGTTGTATTTTGATTTTCTCTTTGTTTACTAGTCTGATTTTCGGTGCATTAGGTTCATTCTTTCCCTTTTATTGTTGCTTTGGGAGCAATAGCGAGCTCTTTATCGTTTATGTACTTGTATCCTTTTCTTGTTTAACATGTATGTCCTTTTGGGTTTTTAATTAAAAAAAAAAAAGACTACTTATTTATTTATTTATTTATTTTTTATGACTATGCTAACACAAAAAATACTTAGGCCTCATCACTAATGCCTTGAGGCGTAAGCCTCAATTGTTCAATATGATTCAATGTGAGGCGTGCATCTCCATTTTTTTTTTCTAGGGCCAAAATCTTAACGAACAACTCAAGATGGGCCTAAAGGTCAAACAATTTTAAGCAATGCTAACAATCAACTCAAGAAATACATGCAAAGTACAACCAAAGCTTATTAGTAGTTTTGCTTAAAGTTACTTCTTTTAAAATAATTTTCTGTAATTTAATTTTTACTCATCTTACTGAAAACCTAGGAGATGATATGGATCTATCCTTCTATGTTTTGAGCGGGGATTCAATGGTAAAGACCCAAGGTTTCTTGGGCGAGAATGGTTTTGGCAAAAATGATCCATCTTTCAGGGTTTAGGATATAAGGGGGATATCAGAGCTAGGTTTTGGTTCACAGAATAAAATTCTGAAAGAAAAATTGCATAGAAAGAGTGATGGCCAATAAAACCTAGAAAGAAAGAGAGGGTTGAGTACCCACTCAGAGAGAGAGAGAGAGATTAACTAAGTTTAGAATTAAACTTGAATACAAAATTCTTGCATGAGATTTCATTTTTAGTTATAAAATGAAATATCGAAACATTTTACTACATTTTAATTTAATCTTAGAAAGAAATTGGGATCCAATTAAAATTTACAAGTATTTATTACGCAGAGGTCAAATTGTAGTTAATTTTCTATGAGACGTTCCGTTATTTGATTAAAAAAATGTGTATTTAGTTGAGATATGATATTACATATGATTTTATTTGCATATAATTCATCTATTAATAGGTATACATGCATGATTCTATTTAAAATTGTTATAGATCTTATAGAACTCCTACTGAATCTAGGCCTGTGAAATTGCAGTCATTTTGCACAGCACATGCATGATCTACATGAGGATATTCAAAGAAAACTATTTATTGATTTTGGCAATCATGAGTATGTTTTTTATGTGAATAGATGGTGTGTATAATTCCAATCAAAGTGATAAGATAATGATGCATCAAAATCGAGAAAAATTTTCCTTTAAACGTATTTAAGGAATTAACTTCAAGAACGTTGGGGTCATATAAAAGGTTACAGCATATTGGATGAATGATTACAAATTGAAATCTTCTCTCTCTCTCTCTCTCAGAGAGGAGCTGAAGCTTAAAAATTCTTATTATGCTTGACGATTTATTGTGCAACTGTATAGGCATTTCCTTCTATATTATTTCTTTATAGCCTATTTATTTGCATGCTACAATCACAGGAAAGTTAGTGCCGAAGAAAAAAATCACTAAATACTAGCATCGGAGTCACAAAAAGAAATCGCTAATTGCTACAATCTCGAAGCCACCGAAGGAACTTTCTAATTATTGCAGTCTCAAGAATGGCCGCCATATAGGATTTTTCGTGCGAGGGTTTCCATCTCCTTTGGATTTATTCTTCATTATTTACAAGATGGAAAAATAACAAAAATAAAAGTTCTACTTAATGCTAAGAGAGTTGAAACTCGTAATTTTTGACTAGATGTAATAGAATTTTGTTTCTTATTTTGAGTATTTCGTGGGCTACATAAAAGGCCCTTGATGTATAAAACTCATTGAACATTAAGTGGTGAAATAAGATTCCAGTTTTCCTCAATTCTTGTGTTTTTGCTGTATAATATGGATTTTCTCACTTCATGGAAGATTTATATACATATCATTTATTCTCCTTGTTTAGTAATTGATGTGTATCGTGATTGATGTTTTTTCAATTATGATTCATGTCAAATATCTGTTTTATAGCATTAATTTTGATTATCGCTCAAATTTTGTGTTGTTCTCAATTTTTCATGTTAGGTTTCAATTTTAAAACTAATTATTGTAGGAATGAAAGAAGCATGTTCAGTATTTTTGCATTAAAGGTGACTCATTTTTGCTGAAGTTGAGAGTTTGAATCCTAGATATTAGGAGTTTTTGTGTTTTCATTGTGCATCTCTGCCTATGTTGCATAACCCTAGATCCAATAGCATATATCATGAGATCTATAAAGGATCATCATCAGATGTACCCTCCAACATTACTTAAAAATACACAATATGAGGCTTGTAGACGCACCTAGAGGCATAAACACCGTACACATCTAGAATTAGGCTTTTTTTAATAGAAAGACTATTTACCCTCTGATGAGGACATCCGGCCTTGGAAAGTCTATCAAAGGCGTGGCAGTCGATCTACGGCCACGATCGCACCGATCTACTTTTAATGTTCAATTTGTATTATGGATGTATTAGTTTTATTTATGCATTCTATTATGTCTTTTCCTCTTTTGCCCTTACTTAAGGGTTTAGACATGTGTAAGCCCTAGGGGCATATTAATACTTTTTATTTGTCTCTTTGTATTGGTTATTTAAAGCTTTCCCCTCCTTCTTTGAGGGCTAATGAAGAATTATTATGAAAATTTCTGCGCTTTTGAGTTCTTGTGAGAATTGAGAGTTCTTGGAGAAAATCCCTATGAAAGGGAATCGCAACACCCACCAACTTTGGACGCCTGGGTTCATGGTTTCTTCTTCCTCCCCTTTTCCTATTTCCCCTCCCTTCCCTAGAAGCCGCCGGCAACCTCCCCTCCACCCTAGATCGTTGGCTCCCTACCCCCATACCATCCCACAGGTCACCCCAACGGCCAGCCTCCCCTCATCCATTCACCTCCCTCTGGCCTAGCCCATCCACCACCCCCACCCGCCAACCTCTTTCCCCCTAACCTTCCAAACCGTCATCCCCTCCCTTTTCTTGTTTTGAATTTCAAAATTCAAATTCACCCATAATTACTTTCCTAATTTAATTAGCTATTAATGTGCAAAGGTGTATTTTGAATTCAAATAAATATTTGAATTTCAAATACCTTCTCTATTAATAAACTCCAATTAGGAAACCCCCTCAATTAAATGAAATCTGAAATTAAAATTCAAATTTGATTTAAATCCATAATTGAATCCTTGGGGCCCACATATATTGAACATAGACATCTAATCCTCCTCCCCATATGGTCGGCCCCTCTCCCACTCTCTTTGCTTAATTACTTTCCTTCCAAATTAAACCCAATCTCCTCCTCCAAATCAGCCACCCCTTTATTCTCCTTAATTACTTGGGGTTTGAAATTTGAATTCCCTCCTAATTCCTAATTCACTAAATCTGATATATATTTCAGATTTTCCCTCCGTGGCTTCCTTACTACTGAGCCCAAATCTGGCCCAAAGCCTTGCTCCCCCTCCCTACTCTAGCCGGTCATTCCATCCCCCGCCTCCCTCCGCTTGTTAGCCCTTCCAATTCTTCCCCGTGAATGCTGAAAACAAAGTTCCTTCTGGAGTTATCGTGCTGTCCAGAAGCTCGAGATGTCTTCATCATAGAATCCAGCCCAATACCTTTGCAAAAATGTTGTTCCATGAAGGCCAGATTGTTGTCCACGGATTTCTGCGGGCATATCTACACCTTATCTTTCAACCAGAATGTTTTAGTTGCTGTCCAGAATTCCATAGTTATTCCAGGTTGCTGTCCAGACTATTGAGGCTAAGGGGATTGTTGATTTGAAGCCCCAAATCTGCATAATACTTGATATTGGTGAACTCTTTCCCTAGGCTCTCATTTTCTTTGTTACCCTACTTCATGTCTTAATGAATTCATATGGAGCTTGTTAATTGATCTCCGCTAAAACCTAGTAAAATCTTAGAGAGTTGAATGAGTGGAATTTCTCATAGTGACTTGTCTCATTGTTAATCTAGGGATATCTTGTTGATAACCCCTATGTACGCTATGTTTTGAACTATTGATTGTTTGAGATCCTAACTTGATGCGTGTAGCTTGGCTTAAATTGATATCACCCCACTTTTGTTTTACTTCTTTGTTTTAATCACTTAAAGTTAATTCCTAATATTGTTTTCAACAACGAAGCGTGCAAATTCTTTAATATTCATCATCACATCACTTAGTCATGCATCACCCTAACCCTAAGACACATATACACAACATGAGAATGACCTTCCATTCAATTTGGCATCCTCCCACTCTTACTACAATATGATCCATACCACATGTGCTTATGGTCAAAAGCGTGTAACCCGTCCATGCATGACTTAAGAACTTGAGTTTTAAAGAAGTAATTAAGCAAATATAAAGAAAGCCATTGAAAAAATTAAAAGGACTTGGAGTCAAACTAAAGTGAAAATCTATGATGCACCGACATTTCTCATAGCGGCATGCGGTGTCTGACACGTATTCAACACATCACGCTTCCGACACATATCCGACACATGTCAGACATGCCTATGTTTGTGGTTATCATTGACAAGAAGTGAAAATTTGGGATATAAGTGACAAGAAGTAAAAATTCAGTTGTGATGTTGTAAATGATGTTCAGATCTTTCTTCACTTTAATGAGTCGATATATTCATACAAATTATCACTATTTAGATATAATTTCCTTTAAATAAATATCATATGAGTTTCTTCTTAAATTCTGAGTTGAGACTTACCAAGATTTAACACCATCAGTACTTAATAATCCAGATTTAGAGAATTTACTAAATTCTACTTAAGTTGAATAATTCTACTTAAGTTGAATCCTAGCTGCATCCAAACTCTATCTTATAATTTTGGATTAAACACTTGGTTCCAAACAGTGTCCATTGAAATTCAACTATCAAGCAACGAAGTAACTTTTAATCGTGAGACAGGTATTACAGAAATAAAGAGTTTCATTACAGTCAAATAAACAGTTGTGAATCAATTACCTGCACACGTTTAGGGCTTCGTACTTCGAACTTGGCATTAGTGCTGACCGAAGTGGAAGAGAACGGCCCTACAAACCGAACCGAGTTCTGGACGGTGAACGCCTCCGAATCGATTGTCTGAGAAATCTCATCCACCTTCACCAGCTGCGGCAGGCTCCCCGCCCCCAGCAGCGGGAAGAGCCCCACAAAGGACGTGTACCTGCCGTAATCCACCAATTCCAACATCAATCAAAACCAAAACCTAAACCTACTTGTGAAACAAACAAAAGAGAGAGGAAGTTGTTTGATCTTACGCCAGGATCCACTTGCCGTTGAGCAAGCTTAGGGCTTCGGTGGGAGCAGGAGTAGGATTCTTGGCCTCGAGCTGGGTGATGAGCTCATTAACCTCCGCCCTTGTCTCGCTCGTCGCTTTTAACCCCCGATCCGTTCCGAATAACTGATCGAGGAGCTTCCGCTTGAGCTCAGCGGTCACAGAAGTCACATCTGTCGTTTCCTCCTCCACCGCTGCCACACTTCCGGCGGCTCCCTTCAGAATCTTCTTCTCGGCCCCCCACTCGTCGTCGTCTGCGACAGCCTGCAGCCGAAAGGACGGTGCAGTCGGCGGACGAAAGATTGTGAGTATCCGACGCTTGCTCACAGGAGAAAGGCCTCTAGAAGAGAGTAAAGCCAGTGGCGGGGGGTTTCGACCTGCCGGCACCGGCGCCGCCGATAAAGCTGCCGGAAAAGCGTTGAGAGCGAAAGCGTTACGCAATGCCAAAGACGACATTTTATCGTACGCCTTTTATGAACCAACAGAAAAAAGATTCAATTCCCCGCCCTGTAAACTTCTGCGGCTGGAGAACCATTTTATAGAAATTTTAAGCATCTCAAAAAATAAAAAAAAAAATAAAAAAAAAATAAAAAAAAAATAAAAATATTGAAGAAAATTCAAAATTGTCTTGCCTCGAGATTTTTTTTTTTTAATTTATGTGGATTGGATTTTTTGGATATCAATCTTAATTAGGTCCAACTGTCAACCAATTGGTATCGGTCCACTCCAGTTATTGCCCAGTTAGGTGTCAATCTTAATTAGACTCAACTTTCGATCAATTAGTATCAATCATCATCTTTCAGGTTAACAACAAGCATCCTATCTAGCCTCCCTTACATCCAAATGCTACAGTTTTTATCAATGTCATGTATGAAATGCAGTCATTCATAAAATGCAGGAAAAACTATCAAATTTACCTCATATGTATTTACTTCAAAAAAACTATATCTTCCATTTAACCGGTGAAAATGCATATATTCATATTAAAATGCTCATATTGATAAGATTTATCACATACCAAAAGTTATGCGGTGTAAATTTTACTAATATAAAATTATCCTCAATTTTCAGTAACAAAAATACCAATTTGATCAAAAAATATCAAAAACATAAATTTATTAAAATCAGAGGCACGTCATTATTCCTTACAAAGAGACGAGCAAATCTCCCGATGAGAACGACTACCAAAACTCGTTCAATGACCCCCAAACCTAAGTTCTTTTTCCGTCTCCTCAATTTCTCTCTTAATTCCCTCATTCCATTTCTATTAGTTGATTTGATAAGAAGAAATGGTTAATGGCTTATTTAATGGTTTATATTAGTGACATAAAATATTTTGAAATACAATAAATAATATTTATATAATTAATTAATTAATTTAATCAATCATTAATATAAAATCATATAAATTCTTTTGGAGCTTTAAAAATTATAGAAAAATATTTATAAAATAGCTTATTTTATTTAGAAAATATTGGTGAAATTGATTTGCAAATCAGACACCCAACGGTCCCAAAATCCTCACTTGTACCGATAAGTATCTTTTTCTTAAGGATTTATACCAGTGCTAAAAAATAATAAAAAATTATTATTATAAAAAATATTATAATAACTATCTTCTGGCAAAAATAATTTTCAAAATAGACTTATAATGACCCCTAAAAAAATTATTTGATTGTGTTAAATTATGGGCTATTATAAAGAGAGAGAGAGAGAGAGAGAGAGAGAGAGAGAGAGAGAGAGAGCATTTGCATGGAGAGAGAGCATATCGTGGATGACGAGAGCAGCGAAACCCCAACTTCTATCAGTATTGATAAGTCACCAAAAGTCGACTTACGAGGCATGCCACTATCAAAATCTATAAATAGTCCTCCTCTTCCCACATGAAATAGGGATTGAACCTTTGAGTGTTGAGACCTTTGGAAGCTTAGACCCTGAGCTAGAAAGTCAAGAGAACTCTGAGGTAGAGCTATCAAAATTTGGTCACGAGTCATGGTCGGGTCCAACCCAGAATTGACTCGACACTAGTTGATCTGACCTGAACTTGACCCATTTTTAAAAATAGGTCACTTTCTTGGACCTGAACCCGACCACCTTCGGACACAGATCAAATTGTCACCACCCGCCAACCCGGGTCCAAAGAAATAAATAGTAGCTATCAGGTTTATACATTTATGTTGCTCATTTATACATCAGATTAAAAATTAAAATAACTATGAATTAAATAAAAAGCAACTATGAGTTAAAAAATTAAAATAAATTACAAACATCAAGTTACAATTCAATTCCTTATTCACAAATATGTTGCTAAACTATTAATCAATTGCTAAATTACAAATTAGTTTACAAATTACAAAAGAGTTTACAACAAATATGACAAAAAAAAAAAACTATAAATTACACTTTACTAATTTGCTCAATTGACCCACTGAAAATGTTCCAAGAATGTGCCTTTAATCCACATGGCCTTGTCCTTTCAAAAATCTAATGGCAGCCAATATAGTTTAGAAAAGGGAAAGCTTTTATACATTGGCCCCACCTCCATAAAAAAAAAAAAAAAACTCACTACCTGTTTCTTCCTTGCTAAGCACTCTTAGGATAAATTATTATGCCTTCTAACTTCAATGAAATCAAGTCAAATGATTTGTACCTAAGGTATATATTATAGCCCGTATATTTAAGTTTAAACAATTAATTTAGATTTCGTTTGGGACGGCTTTCTTCTTGCTTCTTAAAACAGCTTTTAAGTACAATAATTAAAATTTTTGTACTATAAAGCTGTTTTAAGAAGCAGTAAGAAAGTCGTCCCAAACGAAGCCTTAATCTGATAATGATAGGAGAGAGAGAGAACATGCAGCCAAGTGCCAACAATGTCAGCAAAAAAAAAAGGGCATGGGTCGAGGCGGGAGCGGAGGCGGAGGTAGAGGCGGATAAATTTAATCTTATATATTAATAATTATATTAATATAATTCAAAATGATCTGTTTCTTAATTATTGGGCCAGTGGGGGCCTATGCCCCCAGGGCCCCCACTGTAGATCCGCCCATGTGGGTCGTACATCTTTGATATTTTTAGTCTCATTTTAGATTTAGGGTTAAGACTGACGCTATTAACATAGTGTTACAGTTCTCCTCATTGGGCAAGTTTTCACTCTTTTAGAGAATATAAGTCCAACATATCCACATCTATGGATGACATCCTCTCACATGTTCAACCACTGTGTATGATATGTTTGCTTGGTATTCCTCCACCTACACTATACTAGCCTTTGTATGACTTTGATGTGCCACGTTTACATATTGAATAACCATTTTGAGCCTTCCTCTTTCATTAAGTTAGGTAACCTTAGAAGAAAATTCGTGTACTAAACCCATAGAAAAATAAAAGAACATCCTTAATCGAGAGAATTCATGGACCCTTTGTCCAAGATGTAATTAACCATGAAGTCTGTCAAGTCTAAACTTTATACATTTTTATTATGTTAAAAGTCAATGAAAATGTAATATTTTAATTGATGTTATGCAAGAAATGCTCAAGCAAATGAGAAAAAATTAACAAGAGTTGAATGAGCACCTCAATGTCTACAATGCCAGAGCGGTAGATTAGGGAATCACAACATCGGAGTTTTGAAAAAAAAGACAAATAATTCAGTGCCGCATTGCTTAATAGCGTCGTAACATTAGAAATCCGTGCAACATCACTCGAGTCTTAGAACTTTGAAAACCGGAATGCCAAGCATTAAAACACCATAGCACCAGATTGCACATTCAAGCACCATAGCGCTCAACTTTTACGGCGCCGCGGTGGAGCGATAAATTAAAATGGAGCCACTCTGAATCAGCCAAGCAACACACCGATTCAGTAAAGGCATGCCAAGTTAGTGCATCATAGCATTAGAGCAAGCCCAATAGTGTTGAGGTGCTAGTTCATCTTATAACATTATGACGCCACCATGTCAAGCACTACGACGCTTAAGGTCGTTTCTATATTTACTATAAAAAGTTTTTCAATTCTTTTATTTGAGAGTTCTGTCAATTTCGGTGAGGCTCTACCAAAAATTTTGTGGAGTTATATTTTTATGTAGTGCCCACTTAGAGTCAAGTCTAAGGGAGATGAGAGAAAAATAAGATATTTTTCTTTGAAGATCTTTACCTATCTTATTATGAGTAATCATGTAGTTGGAGTAGAAAGAAGTGTGGAGAGTACATTTATATTACTTGGGTGACATTTTTCTTTATTACTTCTCCTATATCTTCTCTTTTATGTAATAAATGAAGATGTGCTTTGTAATAGCCAATAGTTTAATCCTGTCAAATAAAAATTTTCAGAAGTCATTATAAGTCTAAATTATAAATAATCTTCGCCATAATATAAGTATTATAGCACTTTAATTACACTAATTTTTTATAATTTTTGAAGACCTAAAAGAGTTTCTAAAAAATTTATATAAAAAATAAATAAAATTATATAATTATATTAATATTATTTTTTAATATAAGATATCTTTAAAGGCACTCAACGAATCCATTAACAGCCTTTTATTCCTTAAGTCAATTCAGTCTAAGATCATTCTGAAAAAGACAATTAGGGATTAAGTAAAGTAGTCTTGAAGAGAAACAAATTTTAGGAATTTGAAGGCCGATGGAGTGGTTTTTTTTCTACTACGACCCTTGTTTGAGAAATTTGCTCAATGTACTTATATCGTAAGTGGAACCATTTATCAATTTTTCTTTTTTATTTAATTTTGCTATTTATTGAAGGATTCTTTTTTCATTCAATGTAATTGTCTGTTCATCTTAAAAATCATAATAAGATTTATGTTCGTAAAAACTTTCCAACGTACAAAACTTTTTATATATTATAGAGATTGAGATTATTACTATTTTAATTATTTATTTGAAATTTTTTGCCGAATGATTTTGAAAAGGAACGATTTTTATCGATTCAAAATTTTATTTTGACATCTAAAAATAGTTCTTTAGTCCAATTAAAGCTTCATAATGTTGTTATATATGATATATGATAATTTGGTTAATTTATATATATATATATGAATTTATGCTCAATAGGATTTTCTGTTGTCTATCTTTAGGATATTTTAACACTTTCTCAATTAAGCTCAATTATATTTTATTTAATACAATGCATTAAAAAAATAATGTGTGTATGTGATTAAATAATAGATGGTCATTATTATTATTATAGTATTGTGATAATAATATATGTGTGGAAAAAAAATAAGTAAATATTGGTTGATCTGTTGGTTGAAAATTTATTAACCTGTATAAGATTGTGGGCTGATAGGATTTCCTTTAAATATAATGGTTTTGTTTATCCAATTCAACGATGCAACGATTGAGAGTTATATGAAGTTATTGTTGTACGTGCTAACAGGTAAAAGAGTGACGATTCTATTTATTAAGCCAACGATTTACTGATACTGATATGATACTGAAAAAATATTGATAAGTTAAAATTTATTACTTGTTTAGCGTGACTACTAAAATATATATTATTGAATGCATTTTCATGACATTTGACATATAAATTTTTTAAGAATATATTCTAAGTTAATGTGTGTGAAATATTACAAAAAAATAAAAAAAAATCATTACTGCTCAGTTTATAAATTTGTTACTAAAGCATTTGAGCTTATTTGAGAAATTGATTTATCTTAAAGGTGAAAACAGTTATGTTGTATTTGCCTCTACAACAAATTTCCCTGTTAAAAAACTAAGTCTAGTAAAACGTATATTGCCTCATAATATACATTGAAAATCTATTATTAGTTAAGTAAATTAACTCTTATTCTTAATCTTTTTCTTTTTCTTTCTAATGACTTATAGAGAATATGACATCCTTCAAACCAATCTCCATATTCATCGTCTGTTTCTCATTTTTCTTTCTCAACTGGTACCAAAAGTTTTATTTCGTAAAAACTTTAAATATTTGAGAGATTTTGTGAGTTTCTTTTTGTTTTAAAAACATAAAAATGAATTGGCTACCGCGATTTCAAAATTTTCACAACTAAGCTGGGTTGGGTCATCAGGTCATAAAGAAAAAAAATGTAGCAGTAAGAAAATCCATGTATCTTGATTTAATAAGTCTTGGGTTTAGGGCTACGTCCAAACTCTGCACATAATAATTTTCCATTTCCTATACACCAAAATGAAGCATCGTCACTTTCTATCTCGTCGCTTTTCTCCATCTATTCAAGTCGCAAGAGATTGCGGGATTAGGAAGACAAGGTAGAACACAAACGATTGGGGCCATCATACAGTTTTCTTAATTTAAGAAGATATTCAAATTGTTAGGAAAGTGAATAGGAGCATAATCAAACTCAAATTCAGTCAATTAAGCTGAAATTGAGTTCGAATCAGACTTGATACAACTTGGCTTAGGTCAATTTAGGTTCAATTCAGTCTGATCAAGCCAATTTGATAAAATCAGGCTTGATTTGATTATTTTTTTTAGTTTAATTGAGTTGATTAGATTGAATTTAGGTTCGAATCAAACTTGATTTTAATCAATTCAAACCGATTTGGGTTTAATTTGGTTCGATTGCATCAATTTATTGAAACTAAATTCAAATCGACACTAATTTGACTCAAACTTGGTTTGGCAGGGCTCAATTGAGTTGATTAAAGGAATAGGTGCACGTTCGAGGCAACATGCCTGAAAAATGAGGTCAACACTTGATCTTGTTTAAATATTTGTTTGAACCTTAATTTAAATGTGGTTCGAACTTGATTGGAACCACATGGTTATGAACCCTAAATTGATTTGAATAAGCTTTAACACAACCAACTATGTTTTATCTGGGGAGTCGGCTTCGTCGGACTTTCCCCTGCTCATAGTTTCCTCCCACCATGTATCGATGGCTTTGTTTATCTCTGATGAGCAAATGCTTTCTCGAGCAATGCCCTTCGAGTTTGTTTTAGTTGGGAAGTTTTCGGGCCGCCACCCGCCTCTTGATATGATTCACAAATTTTCTTTAATCTAAAGCTTGTTGGTGATTTCTCGGTTACTTTATTGAACCCTAAAATGGTGATGATTAAGCTTGTTAATGACTTAGATTACTATAGGGTTTTCTCTTACCACTCCTACTTCGTCAACAACTGCTTCATGAAGCTTTTTAAATGGATTCCACTTTTTGACATAAATATGGAGTCTCCCATAGTCCCCATTTGGGTTTCTTTCCCCTATTTGTGCCCTCATCTTTTCTTCCTTGTATACTTCATGGCTTGAGGTAACTGTTTGGTATGCTATTGAGAACGAATAATGCGACTATTAATGGCTATAGGCCTTATGTGGCACGCATATTAGTGAAATTAGATGTTACTAAATGATATACTTCTCAAGTATGGCTTGGTTTGGAGTTTATGGGTTACATTCAATAGGTTGAAATTGAAGAATTTTCTTCGTATTGCTTTCATTGCAAAACTTTGGGTAATTCGAAGGATTGTTGCCTGATCCTTTTTTCTAAATATGGGCACTGCTCCTTCTGTCAAGGAGGGGATCGGGATCAATATTCATTCTTCATATGCTCTTGAGGGTCTTAATATTACCCCTGCCATTGGTTATGGTGGGGTGGCTCAAGGTGATTTGGCAGAAAATCATGATTTGATATGTGCTCAAGAGAATAATGGTGATGTTTCTCCTTTGCTTAATAATTTAGTGCATGAGATCATGCATGCTTTATCTCAGGATCAATGTTGTGTTATTTTTCATAGTTCTGGTGGTTTTATTTTGTCTTTTGTTAATGCCCAGGGGACGACAGATGTGCCATTGTTTGGCTCTAATGATATGGGGGTTGTGCTTTGGCTTTGTCAAATATGAATATGGAGGGGGATTGTGAGGTGGCAAGAGATGCTGTAATTTGTTCTGCTTCATCTGATGTTGTGGTTTCGCCTATTCTTTTAAAGGGGCCGATTTCCCCCTCTCTTTGTTGGGGCTGATGTTTCGCTTATGACTAAAGGGCATGTAGAACATGGGTCCCTTGTCGAGGTGCCTATTGTGGTTATGTCCCCTAAAGATTTAATTGCTCAATATGTGTCAAATTTAGTTGTCATTTGTTATGGGCTTTCGGGTCGGGATGTTAAATCGCCTTCATCTTCTAGTGGGGTTGGTGATGTTATTGATGATGAGCAAGTTGAGTCTCTTCAGGATTTATACAAATTAAAGGTTTGTCAGGTTGTTGATAAAGCTTTCTCTTGTGTTAGTAAACGACGGAGGAGAAACTCTAGAAAGTAACTGCTATTTACTACTTTGGTGTGTGGCTTGTTTTTTTGCTTAGTAAGTGATTTTTGTTGATGTCTGTTTCATTTGTGAGCTAGGGATTGGGGCTATGTGAGTGGCTGTTTGGTTTGCATTTGGGCTCGAACTTGTTTTTGAGTTAGGATGGTCGGTTCTACTCGGCTTTAGTGTTATTTGTGGGGGAGGTATTTCCCTCCTATCATTGTATTTCTTATGTTCATGTTATGTGCAGGTTATTTCTGACTTTTCCAGACTTTGTTCCTAGTAGCTTGGATGCTCTTTGTGGACATTTGCTAGAGAGCTGTTGCTTTTGGTGCAGTTGGTGTTTGCTGATGTTCCCATGTTGTTATCTTTATTTTGCTTTGTCTCTTATGTATTAGGTTGGATCTAAAACTCCTGGGTTTTAATTCATATGTTGTTCTTTTAGTGAGCTTTTGATCTTTTAAGGATTTGTAATTTTTATCATTATTAACACGTAGGCTCCGCTATGAGTTTTATTTAAAAAAAAAAAAAAACACAACAAATTATAACTTTGGCATAGTAGAGCATAATAAAAAATATATAGCGTATTACATTATATCTTTGATATAACATAATGCAATACCAATAACTATAACATAATACACTATCATTTTGATATAATATAATGTAATCACAATAGCTGTGACACAAAAAAAATTATTAATTTAATATAGTTGAACATAATCACAACAGCTATAACACAATAAAATTAATTTCTTCTATATCTCAATTGAGTGTTATAAAAACTTGAACCTGAAGAAGCAAATATATTTCCTTTCAACTCTTATCGAGTATAGTACTTAAGGTACTCATCTAAACCTCTACAAAATGCCCATGTTTTTAATGTTCAAACTTTTCCTTCGACCCCATGTTATGAAAGTTGTAGAATCTTGAATTTGTACACTTTTTTCATTAACACTAGAGTTTTCTCAACTCTCCCGAGACGATTAAAAGCATTAAATTGCCAACAATTTTATCAATCATACCTTAGGTCTATATATGTTGACTTTCATGTTTCGGTGGGAAAGCTGGTGGGCAATCTGGATCCTTCTCCAGGTGTTGCAGTGGCCGGTTCTAATCTTGTGGGGCCTTCTGATAATATTTTGGTTTCTTTTGATAAATTGGGTGGTGTTACCCAACTGGCTCCGGATGTGGCTGTTGATCCTAGTAAGGGTGATATAGTGGTAAGTGATAATGTGATTTTGGCCATGGAGGTTAGTCATAATGCTATGCCGTCGAATACTTTGCTACCTGTTTGTACACCCTGTATGATAAATGAGGAAGTGGTTGAGCCCTTTGCTTTGAGTCCGTTGGGGAAGATTGGTGTTGCCTCTTCGGCCTGTTTTGATTTGCCAGATGTTGCCGGGGTGGTGCAACAGCTTGATGTTGGTGATGATGGTGCTGCTTCACCTGTGGGTGGTTTTAGGTCTGGTTATATGGTTACTTGGCCACTTTCTGATGGTGATGATCATTTGTCTAAAAGTTTTGATGATCCGTTATTTACTATTCCTATAACTATTGTTCCTAGGGATATAATGCTTTCTCACCTATCTAGGGATAGTGATAAAAAAAAAAAAAAAAAAAAAAAAAAAAAAAAAAAAAAAAAAAAAAACCTTAGGTCTATATGCGACCCAATTAGTGCAATGCTCTTTATATACATGCTTATAGTAGACATGCATAATAACAAACACACTCAAATGAATCAATTCTATACAAGATAATGAGTCCAAATTAAAAGAATTCAATATTCTATGTAAGATAATGAGCCCAAAGTAAAAGAATTCAATTCACGTTTGAACTTGTTCGAATAATATTTAAACTATCCTCTTGTACACTGTTCAAAGACGATTCAATATTTAGGTCAATTAAGGCAGACTCACATACAACGCATACACAAGACTCAAACTCAAAATCTTTTAGTTGATAGCCTAAGCTTCCAATCAATTGACTAAAGTGAATTGTGGATAATTGTAACATATTTTTATATGACATTTTGATTTAAAAAATAATAATATGTTTACAATAAATAATATAGATATTTGAGAATTACAATAATTACGAGGTATATATGTCAAAAATTCATATTAATTTTATAATTTTATTTTATTTTTCATGAAATATAAACGATAAATGCCTTGCCGGAATTTTGTCCGCATTAAGCCCTGCCCACCGCGAACAGCCCTCTCTTCGGAAAAGAGCGCTGTTATTGTGCTGCACTTTCCTTCTTGCTTCGGGTCTGATCAGAAAATACAAACGCGAGCTATCGAAGGAAACCCTTCCCTTTCTCCCATGGCGGAGGTTCGCGAGCGTCTCCTTCCCCCACGGCGCTTTTCATCTGCAGCTTCTATCAACCAGAACGCTGCCCACTCCCCTGCTATCGTGCGCCGGCCGTTGTTCCAGGGCATGGACGTACTGGGTTTAAAGAAGCGAGGGCAGGGCCTGCGTTCTTGGATCCGGGTTGATGCGGCGACCGGTGGATCACAGGTGATCGAGGTGGATAAGTTCACGATGATGCGGCGGTGCGATCTGCCGGCGCGGGACCTCCGGTTGCTTGACCCACTCTTCGTGTATCCCTCGACGATCCTGGGGCGGGAAAAGGCCATCGTCGTAAATCTGGAGCAGATTCGATGCATCATCACCGCAGATGAGGTCCTCCTCCTCAATTCCCTTGACAGCTATGTGCTACAGTATGTCAACGAGTTGCAGCGACGGCTCGCCGCACACTCCGGTGATGGCCTTCACGGATGGTCTACTTCGCCAGACTACCTCCCTTTCGAGTTCCGTGCACTAGAAGTGGCGCTTGAGGCCGCCTGCACGTTCCTCGATACCCAGGTGCGTTATGGATGAGCTGGTTGGTGTAGTTTTCCAGTTATGGCATTGGTTTTGTTATTCATAGTGCATGTTTGGAAGCAGCCAGTAGGATTTCGTAAATACTCTAAATCCGAATTTACTAAATCCTGAGGGTGTTAAATCCTGAAAACTATTTGATAATAAGTAAGTTAAATCTTGATAAATCCTGTTTGATTGTTTCGCAATGCTAGTCAGGATTTAAGGCAGTTAAATCATATGATAAATTTTTTCTAATGAAATTATATTACAATAATGATAGTTCATATGGATACATCAACTTAGTAAAAAGAATAAATATCTAAATAGCATTAGCAATACAACAACTAGATTGATGAGAATTACAGGCAAATTAAAGTTGATTTCTTCTTGATGTTCCAAGCATTGTATGCTATCCAGTTGAAAGACTTCGATGTCTTGTTGCCAGTAATTGTGATAATATGTTAGAACCCCATCTTTGACAAATTAATTGTATTAACCTTAATAAGATAAAGATTTACACATGCTTGCCACATATTTGTTGCGATTGAAGGCCTTAGGACGTCACCTTCTATTCTCTCTCCAACTCCGGCATATAAGTTTGGGTCTTCGTTATGAACCTGAACCTCATCCAAATCGCTATCATGATGCATTTCAGTTTGTGACTTGTTGAAGTATATATCATGCTCATGGTAGCACCCAATTAAATTGTGCAAAACTGTACATGCTAGCACAATATCAGCCTGAACCGTTAGAAGGAAATTGTTGCATATGCGTCAATACTTGGAATCCTTCTTTCCATATACCAAATGTCCTTTCCACCACATTACATGGTTGTGCATGCCAATGGTTGTTTAGCTCCTTCACAGTAGTTGAAAGGAGGAAAGAAAGCAATCAGATTATCAATGCCAGTTTCTCTTGCACCTTATCCATCACCCCTTGTGAAATGGTAAATTCTTTTACTCCTTTGTCATTCTTGAGTTAAAACACTGTTGAAAATCAGCAATTTGGTCAAAATTTTGGGTTTTCTTCTTAATGATTGTCTAACTGGACATTGTCTAACAGGCCCTTGCATTTTGTTTCGAACTTTGTTGAAATTTTTTTATTTTTTTTCGGACGGATAGGTGGTTTAATGGTCGTCGATGGTGTTCTTGGGTTCTATTACTTACGTTTTTTTTGTAGTAGCAAAACTATATACACATCGACACACAAAAATGGAAAAGAAAGGAATGGAGTATACCTGGTCTCGATTTTTGGTTTGCTAGGGAAAATGAGCAAGCGAGAGGAAGAATAAGCTGCTCAGATGAAGTTCAGAACGTACACCTTATAGTGAAGAGAAAGAGACTTTTGGATGTTGCCGAACATGCATTGCAAGTGCTGGGCATGGGAGGCGAGGATGAGGAGATAAGAGATAAGCGGTAAGAGCTAGACATGATATTCTTCCCCCTCTTGTACCAAGAATGGCTTAAAATCTACCAAAATTTCAAATTTGGCAAATTTAGGATTTACCACAAAAATGGGGAAATTGTCGTGAACATTTATTGTATGATTTAGATTTCCAATATTTTTGACGTTTGACAAAATTTAGCTCAAATCCTCCCTAAATCCCGCCAAAATCCGACATCCAAACAAGCCCTTAGGTTGTACTTAGGTTATCTATACTTTATGGTCTTTGTTTTGCTATTGTGATTGGATGTTCTAAAAATGCTTCCATTTTAGAAAATCACAGTAGCAGCATTTCATGCATTCTAGAAATGCAAGAGTTGTTTGATTTGATATGAATCAAATGCATTAAAATATTTTTTATATTTGTTAGAATTTATTTCAAATACTCTCTCTCTCTCTTTCTTGCTTTCTCACTCATATATCTTCTTTGTAAACTCATGCTGATCATGATAAGCTAGGTAGAGGGAGTTGAAAAATGAGGTGACTCGGACTTAGCCAAGACGACATGGGGTCATATAATTTTTTTGCACAAATTTTTTTTGCACCATTTTTATTTATGTAATTTTTTATGTATTATTCTCCTTCCTAATTTTGTGATAGTAAATTTATCCTATCCATTTTATGGGTGCATTTTTATCATTAATTTTACATGTTAAAACAACCTAAGCAATTTTCATTATCTCATCCTCAATTGATGCTATATCCACCATCTCTTTAATATAATCATTTATTAATTAATTCTTCATAATTTTGCTATATATCTATTATTAAATTTTAATTTTGGCCATGGTCAACTTAATAATTAATGACTTTGCTTATCACTTAGATTCATGTAAAATGTGACCAAATTCTAGTCCTATAATTTTTTTAGCCGTTGAACTTTTTCATTTTAATCACTAATTGTGACTCGAAAAGTTGTATTCTAATCTATATTTCTATTATTATATTTCATAATTGATCCTAGATACTTAAGCTGTCACATTGATTTAGGAAGTATAACACCAAGCCTTAAGTGAACACCAAAGTGCCGCCTAAAGTTAAACTTAAAGTGGACCCTAAAATTAAGCCTAAAGCTAGGTCCAAATAGGTTAATGGGTGTATGGAGCACATAAGGCTACATATAAGCTGCATTAAAGGACACACTAAAAATGAGGTAAAGAAGCTAGATTCAAGCAATTTTCAAAATTCAAAATCAAATTCCAAGGGCGGTCAACAATAAGAGAAGGAAATATATATTTAGTCTTTGTAATAAGGAAGGGTGCTTATCCTTGTATGATTTTTATAAGAATTAGGAGGTACATTGATTTTCATCCTTTGCTCAAAAGTTATAGGTCTCCTCTTTTTTTCTACAACTTCTAAGTTGTAGGAATTTTTTCTCTACTTTACTCCAAAATGAGAAAATGATCAAAATGGTCTCTCAAGTCTTTGTGAGGGATCAAAATAATTCACAACTCTTTTGAGGGATCATTTTTGTCCATCAACTCTTTAAAATAAGACATTTTTGGTCCTAACATCTAATGTTGTAGTTAATGGTGTTAAATGTAAGGGTATTTTAGTTATTTTTTAATTAAATATTTATTAAATATAATTCCAGTTAGGATCAAATTGGTCCCTCAGAAGGGTTAAGGACTAGTTTGGTCCCTCACAAAGAGTTGAGGGACTATTTTAGTCCTTTTCTCGCTCCAAAACTAAGAAGAATTCTCCAACGCTTAGCTCCAAAGATTTTGGGTATTTTCTCTTCATTTACTTGATCTCCAATCAAATGAATGATCTTCGACCATAGGCCTCCAAGCATTAGCTCTTCAATTAGATCCAAATCCAATAAGAGTTTCTTACTCTTTAGCCTCAAAGCTAAAGCTTATCTATTTGACCCAAATCAAATAGATAATCCTCTTTCACTTAGACCCAAACTCTTAGTATAATCTCATTTAAACAAAACAAATGGTTTCTTCTTCCATGACATTTAAAATATAACCTTTAAATATCCTTTAAGAGTATACTTTCTACAAAAATTCACCTTACCCAATTAGGTGAATTTCACAAAGTCCTAGGTCAAACTTTTAGGCAAATTTACCTTACCCTATTAGGTAAACATCCATCTCTCGTCTAAACACTAAAAGAACTTAAAAAAAAAAACTTAAAAATTATTTAGATTCCCTTTAATACTGATAAATTACTCCACCTCAAAAGGTGCAATGTCTATATCATTGGATCTTATGATTTCATGAGTAACAGGCTTGCCTCAAAGCAAACAGTGACTGCTCTATAGGTTCTTCATAACCCTTTTAAATATGAAGCAATTAAAAATCAAATAAAACTTGTAAGTCACAAATAAATTAAAGTGAAACCACCCTGGATTAAATTTGAATATCCTTTATTCCTCAATAGAACAAAATACCACTTGTAGTGTGACATACCATACAACCGGCACACACTCAGGTGCACAGCCTTTAGGCATGCTAAAATTATGATTTTTCTTTTCTGCTCATGTGGTTGAAGTTTTGGTGTGATGCTTTGAATTGTCTGTGTTGTGAGCACTTCCCTTAAATGATTAGGATAGAGATATATGCTCTTTTATGTTGGTGGTCATATCTAAGAGGTAAAATAAATCATAATTATAAATTGCTTGCTTACAGGTGTTACTTAAAACCTCCTCAAGGAGACATGACCAACAGGATAGAGACAGGATTTGGTACCTCAAGTGCTAGACAATTATGGGATATATTTTTCTTTCATATAAACTGCTTCCTAATCCTTTCCTGCTTTGCAGGTTTGAGTATTTTTATTTTTAAAATATATTAGACTTAAGAAGTATTGTAAGCTTATGATCTATAGTTACAGAAGAGATGAACCAGAATGATGAACTCTCGAAGGTGAAGCCATGAATGCATCTAAAAGACAAAGCTTGACAACCCCACAGGTTGAGTTTGTTAAAAATCAACTGGGTTGTATAAGACAGGCAAATCAACAACTACTTTTATAATTTTCTCATAATTATAATAATTTGAACATTATTTCTTTATTTTTATGTTTGTTGATTTATATATGTACACATATTTATTTGTTTCTTAAGTGTGCGTTAGAAATCTTTATATTTTTTTAGGTTTGTTCACTTGCTTTTTGCTTGTGGGTGGCATGGACTTGTGTTGTATGGTAAACTCTTAGGAAAAAATTAAGATTTATACTAATTAAAACAAATCTAAATTAAAAAAAAGCAATCATTGGATAATATGCCTTTTTCTACAAAAATTGCATGGCTTAGTCAAATAAGACACTTTCAAATAAATAAATTGAAATGATCATCCATGGCCGACGTGTCTCATACAGAAAACCCTCATTTAAAGACCAAATAAAAAAAATATGCATTCAGTGAGTCAGCATATGTGTACCCTCATGTTTAAGCATATTGGGGTAAAAGTTTAATTGTAAGTCTTATCTTCTAAATCAAAACAATCTATATAATCTACATATGCATTGAGACCAGACTTCATGGTTTTAAAAATGTTTATGTGAGTTTAGTTGGTAGCCCTTTTCAGGAAGGGTTGTAAATCCAGAGGTTTGACTGATTTATGCCTCATGTGAGGTATTGGTTTGTAAGTCTCTTGCACTGCGTTCTATTTATATTCGAGACACTATCCCAGTAGTCCTCACCTTAGCTCTAGGATATGAGGTTATTATTGACTCCAATCACATCAGAAGCCTTCACATTCTTGGCATTTCTCCAAACTTGTGTTGTTGGAATATAAGCCCCAACTTTTTGAAATTAAATTGGTCAATTCAAACAACAATCTAATTTTATAATGTAAAGCTCAATATAGGATAATTTGAGTACCTATGAGTTTCCTCAGAATCAAATATTTCTACATTTTTCTTTATTTGTCTTCTAATTCTAAAATCTGATTTAAAGTTGATCACATCACACTTGAAAATCTCAAAGATCAAAATTTTTAACAAGAATTTCTCAAACTTTAATGAAAATATTAGCCAGTATTTTGATGATTTTAAATAAACCACTATTTAAGTCAAAAGTATTCTTAGGTAACAAATGCTTGAAATGTAATTAATCATAGGGGCTCGCCCCTAGGGGCATCCGTACCCCATAATAAAATAAATCAAAACCAAATATTGAATAGGAATTTTTTTTTGTTAAAATACTAATTATGAGTTTTGTTATTGAGTCCATAGCAAAATAACATTTTTATCTTTTGGGATAATATATTATTTTCTATATTGTGCTCGATCGCAAATATTCCAATCCGTTGAAGATGACAAAATTTCTCCAGCAAGAATAAATAGGGACGAACCACTAATGGTCTAAGTTTTAAATGACCATATGTAATTATCTGGATGATAGATCCAAATCTAGAACCTCAGCAGCCCAAACCGAAGTCTGCTGAAATAACCTCTGGTAGGATTGCCTAGAATACTTGCAAGTCAACGCAGGTTGTCAATCTCAAGTATAGATAAATAGGAACAGATGATTCCATATCACAGTAAATGCATATATAATGCATTTTCCATACCACTGCCATCTGAGTAAGTAAATTGAAACTATAGTAATTATACTTCTTGAATTAAGCCGTTTTAAACTATCAGTCAACCCATATAATTCAGTATAAAGGACGCATCTCTTGTAAAAATTCATCATAGGCATGCCTAAATACCTAAATTAAAAATTACCAAGTAAACTAAAATAAACTTCTTAGATCAATTCTAATCAACCTTTCTGCCGACATAAACACGAATATATCCATCACAAAATGATAGTTCTTTTAGAGAGAATGTCATTTCAATCTATTATGGAATCATTTAGTGTTCTTGTCATGAATGTGCTTTTCACTTATAATATCCTTAAAAAATCTTGAAGAAAATTTTAAAAAAGAGCTAGCAACAACAACTTGTCATCGTATGAACTTTTCATTGTATGAAGTTGTTGACGATTGCTCGTCTTTCATATCATTTGCTTGTAATTCCTGTTTTCTTAAGGTGGGGAGATGAAGCAAGTGCAATGTTCTCCCTATTTGATCCTTTCATGCTTGTAGTTGAATAAAAACTTGCTTATCTTTTTGGATTGCACTTCACGCAGCATGTTAATCAAGGTCAATATTTGTTTTCAATCCTGTATTTAGTGAAATTGATTTAATTCTTACTGATTTTATACTTCTTTTAGTATTATGCTGCTTCACTATGTACTGACTCGCAGGAGATTCTTTTAATGCTGCATAGAAGAGAACTTCCCTCTTAACTGGTGTCCCATCTGTTGTCTCATTCAGGCTGGTGAACTTGAAACTGAAGCATACCCCTTGTTAGATGAACTAACATCAAAGATCAGTACTTTGAACTTGGAGAGAGTGCGCCGTCTTAAAAGCAGACTTGTTGCATTAACTAGGAGAGTTCAGAAGGTAAAATAATAATGCAACTGGCTGCTCACCGGTTAGTTAATAATTTTTTCCTGACATAAATGCTATCAATATTTTGCTAGTGTAGGTTAGGGATGAGATAGAGCAATTAATGGATGATGATGGTGATATGGCTGAAATGTATCTTACAGAAAAGAAAAGTCGATTGGAAGCCTCATTCTTTGGTGACCAGTCTTTGCTTGGATATAGTTCTGCTGGAGCTGGCCTATCAGTTTCTGCCCCTGTTTCTCCTGTTTCTTCTCCAACTGATTCACGGAAACTTGAGAAGGCATTAAGCCTTTCTCGTAGTAGGCATGACAGTATGAGAAGCTCAGAAAGCAACAAAGAGAATATAGAGGGTTTGGAAATGTTGTTGGAGGCTTATTTTGTCGTTATTGACAGCACGCTAAACAAGCTTACTTCTGTAATTTCCTCGCTTGCTTTTTTCATTAGTTATTTTTACCATGAGGTTTTCTAATGAGAAAAGTTTATTCCTGTTTTTTTTCAGCTGAAGGAGTATATTGATGACACAGAAGATTTCATCAACATTCAGCTTGTAGGTTTCCCTCTTAATAATATTGTGTCCTAATGTTTTCTGAGCCCATAATTAGATTTAAACTGTTGAAACTTGAAATATCTGCTTCTTAAAGTGGAAAAATGGAACAACATTGAGTCATGCAATAACTATACTTATCAAGAAGATTTACAGAGGATAATTAGCAAAGCTAAAGATATAGTTTTCGATAGTTTGTACTGTTTACTGTGTACTAAGAAACGAGAAAAGTGACAAAATATGCAAGAATTGCATGTTAGACATGAAATTGCCCTAGTGCGCCAACCTCAAATAGTTGTTATAAGGCTAATGATGATGATGGCATAAGATTGCCCTTGTAATAAATATAGCTAAGTTAGGAAAAAGTAAGTTTATGATTTTTTATGAATTTATATGTATTGTGTAGATAATAGGGTCATAATTAAACAAGACATCAAAGAAATGTGGAAATTCTTGTAGTTAGAAACTAATGCAATTTTTAAGGTAGATTTTTGTACAAAAGCTCAAAAATGAAATAATATTTGTAAATATACAACAAAGCATGTTTAAAAAAGTGAATTTGTTTTAGCTTTGAAGAACATGCATTATGATAAGAAAATGCCGATTGAAATTTAGGGTCATCAAAGATATCATAGGAATATGCAAATTAAAGCGAATTAATGACTTCATAAAAACTAAGAAGTCGTGAAATGATTGAAGAAGAAACATTTTAGTTTTCGTTTGAGGGCAAAAAGGATATTATTTGGATACTGATAGCTATAAGTAATCAATCCTATGAATTTACAGTGAACTTATGTGACAGGATAATAGAATAGTTCTGAGAAAAATTATGTTTCTGTTGGAAATTCAATTTTGTTTACATTATTTTTCTGATTTGTTAACTAAAGAAAAAATAAACAGAGCAACTATTAGATCTTCACTTATATTTTTTATAATCTTAGTGAGTGATATGATTGAGTACCTTGTACAGAAATTTAGTGGCATTAACGAGAAAATGTGTGTTGAAGGTATGTTAACATTGTTAAGATATTCATTAAATAGTGATTAATATTAGGTATACTTGTGGAATGATTGAAGGTATTCAAATCTCGATAGATTTATGAATCATTCATACATTTGCATTTTCTTATAATGGGTTTAGAAGGTTTTATAGAAAATGTTCATAGGGAGGTATTTTGTTGCATACTATTTGTAGATATTGTTGTTCTTATATTTGACACCTCTTCAAAATTTGAAAAATAAGAATAAAGAATAAATTTTCTAGAAGTTTAGAATTAGTTGAACAAATATTGAGCTCATGATATGGAAATGTTAGTGTTTTGAATTTGTAATTGTTTGATATTATTAGAAAATTATGTGATATCTAGTGTGATACATTTAAGAATCATGGATATCAAAAAAAAAAAAAAAATGTAGATGGGGATATAACTTCTAAAATTTAAGATAGGTATCAAAAGAGTAATGAAAGAATATCTAGGAGACCTTAATAAAACTTTCATAAATTTGAATTATACTTATGCTATGCGGATCCAAGAGTAATGTGGTAAAAAAGACATTGATAACTAGTTGATTTTGGTAGAAATAAGAACATTTTGTAGGAACTTTGGTCAAACAAAGGATTATATACATAATGATTTTATTAAATATTTATGGTAGCTTTTGTTAAAGCTAAGGTTGTAAAAATTATTTTAGGTTGTTTGGCATGTATAATGGAGGACATAAAATGCAACAACAAGATGACTAGATGGTATAAAATCTAAAGGATTTGAAATGAAGGCTGGTATACCATAATTAACATATATCATCATCATCATTATGAGCCTCATCTTAATTATTTGGGATAAGTTTTATGACTCTTCATTTTTCATTTGTTTTATTAACTGTTATCAGAAGTGTTAACTAGTTGAAATTTATAACAAGTTGATTGTGGTAGAAAATATCTTATTTAAAGTTTTGTTAAACAAAGGGTATTTTGCATAATGATTTTATTAAATATTTATCTTAGTTTTTGTTGAAGCTAAGGTTTTCAAAGTTGATTTAGGTTGTTTGAGTGTGTAAAGTAGAGGGCATAAGAGGTGCTAATAGATGACTAGTTTTGATTAAATCTAAAGGCTTTGGAATGCAGGCTAGTTTAACATCATTAGCATAGTTATATCATCATTATTATCATCTTTATAAGCCTTATCATATTATTTGGAATAAGTTCTATGATTCTTCATTTTTCATTTGTTCTTATGAAATTTTGTTTGAAGCATTGAACCTATTCATCACAAATCATTTTGAATAACTCATATCAATATTATCTTAGATCTATCATTTCTCCTTCCTAATCAGCTAACTTTAATTTTATCTACTCGTTTAATCGGTGCATTTTCAATGTTGTTGTACTTTTTTAAATCACATTTTCAATCTGTTGTTGTACTTTTTTAAATCACTTTAGTCTAATTTCAATTATCATATCTTTAATGCATTCCACTTCAATAGTTATTTTATTATAATCATTCTTGGATTTATTCTTCTTAGTTTTATCACATTTCTATTTTAATACTCTTATTTTTACTATGCTCAACTTGAAGATTAAAATATTTTTTTATAACCCAATGCTTAGATCCATACATTTTTAGCTTAGGGTCTGTTTAGAGCAGCGATAGGTATTTATAGTAGTCATAGAACTATTATGGAAAAATAATTGTTTTGAAAGATCCTATTAGTGGTATGGACATTTTTTATTTTGTAAAAATTAGACAACTTTTTTAAAGTTGCTAAAATCCGGTAGATCTACTTGCAAAAAGCTACTCGACACAAGAAATTCTAAAATGCAACAATAAAGCTCTAGCCATATTGAACTATAATAGTTGTCTAGAAAGTAAGGATGTGAAAAATGTACCCTAAACAACCTATAAAGTTCATCTTTAAGTCTTCATGATATTTTTTATCACATAATATTCCAAAGGTTTTGCATTTTAGCCATATATCTTAAACTCTAAAAGTTATATTGATGTGAAATATATGAAAATAGGAATTGCTTAGGAATTAATAACAATGTTTAGCTTCGCTAATTTTAAACTTGATGCTTCACCATATTAGATTCTCAGATTTCTTAGTTGTAGTTGTGCGTTGGCATGCGGTTACAAGAAAGATTTACAGGACAATTTAAAGTAACAACAAACTCATAGTAAAACTAAAGGCTTACAGAAATCCACCGTTTAATAAAATAGAAATTTTACCTTGAGTTTCGCTCACTTTCGCTCTTTGAGGTGGTTTTAACGGAAGAATAATTTTAGCAAACTTAAAAATGTCACCAAAAGATAGAGAACACCTGCAGTATTACCTAACGAAAAGTTAGCCGAAGGAGAAGAAGTTGGTGGGTATCCGATAACTCACCACTATCCGGAGATTTAATGTTCATCGATGGCAGACATCAAGGTAAAAAGGATTCAATCAACGTAGTCGTCGATCTCTAAATTGAGGTTTAAGAAAGGAGACAAAAACGGAAAAACATAAAAATCAAATAAACTACTACATAAAATGACTCAAAATAAAACTCATGATCGTGGCCGTTGATCTCCGACGTCTCCTGATGGTACATGTGTCGAAATATCTGACGATGTCCTCATCATTTGCGAAGCAAGGGAGAAAGAGAGATGATGGAGCAAAAGGGCGTGGGGGTTTGGCCAAGACCTATGTTGCACCAATACGAATAAGGTGACACGGATACGACACGATATGGATACGGAACACGTCAATTCTTAAAAATACAAGATACAGGTACGGCGCGGACGCAACATTATAATTTATAAATCATATATAAAAATTAAGAAAGCAATCAAAGCATAATATTCAAATTACAAAAAAAAAAAGAAAGTAATATCATAATATCATTTGTGGCCTTGGAGCTTATAATATCAAAATAAAAGTATGCATTAAATGTCTAGTACAACAACAAAAGCATAAACATAAATTGTCTAGCACATGCAGTTTTAACTATTCAATAGAAGGAATGATATGATTAGCTTCTTCAGTGGTTTGTCTTTGAACTTCTATATTATCTTCAATAAATATCATAGCTTCTAATTCAGGCTCATCAACTGAAAGATTAGCAATTTTTAATATTCTCATATCATCAAGAGACTCAAATCCATCTCAGAAATGAAAGAGCCTCGCTCGCAGCCTCAGAAGTAAATACGATGAGTCTTTTTTTTTTTCGGAATTGTTTTTCAACGGAAACGCGTATTGGATACGCGTGTCCTTTTTAAATTAAATAGTATTTTAATTAGATACGACAAAGCCGTATCCAACACGTATCAGAGGCGTATCCGTGTATCAATGTATCAGATATAACACGCTTTCATAAATAGGTGTATCGGTGCAACATAGGCCAAGACTAGGGAGGATCCGTGTGGGTTAGGGATTTAGGTAGTAAGAGGAGTCAAGAGGAGAGGAAGGAATTAATTCCTTGATTAATTAACCTAGAGTAGAAATTAATATTGGAATTAATTTGAGAGGGAAAGAGGGATAATTTGAATTCAAATTCTCTAATTGGTTGAGGGATTATTGGGGGAGTTGGGTTTTAATTGGGAAGTAATTTAAGTGGAGTAGAGAGAGAGGGAGAGGATGGCGGCAAGAAGGGAGAGAGTGGGAAGAGAGGGGGCCGACCAAGATAAAGGGGAGGGGGAGGTTGTTCACATTCAATGAATGTGTCTAGGTGCAATGAATGTTGGAATTGAAATTAATTCCAAGTTAATTTCAGATTGGGAGAGATTTGGGGAGCTTCCTAGAAATAGATTTATTAATTAGGAAAGGTCTTGAATTTTAAATATTATTTGAGTTCAAATTAATAGACTTTCCAAATTAATAATAAGTTATATTAGGAAGGTGTTTAAGAGGCCTTTTTGAATTTGAAAACAAGGACTTGAAAAGTGGGAGGGGTCGGCGGCCTAGGCTAGGGCTAGTTGGGCCGGCGACTAAGGGGATTTAGGTGGAGTTTGGGTTAGTGTTTTGGG